AAAACGGCGATGAGCAGCAATCTATGTAATCACGAAGGTTGTCTTCTGACAAATATTGATTGGCCGACAAACAAGCATACTTGCTGAAAAAAAAGAAAAATACTTAGGTTAAACTAAAATTCTCGAGGTTGGAATTACGATCAACTAAGCAAGTATACGCTAGAAAGCCATGTAATTTTAATCTTATTAAGTGTCACTACCGAAAAATTTTGTCAGGTCAATGTCATTTGAACATTCAAAGAAGAATTGTTATTAGCTAGACCAAAGCAGAATCAAGATCATAAATAAAAACAGGAAACTTTTGAAAAAAAGCAAGTTTTCCCTCATTTTGTGACAAATATAGTCAGTTAATACTTTTTTCATAAAGTGTGCTGAGAGCCGCACACGCTGTGATGTTATGTAGTATGGAGCGCTGTATACAGTTCACGTGAAGTTAGCGTGACATAAATCATTTTGGAAATGAAACAAATTATGAACGGTTGTGTATACGTCTTTGATGTTTCGATGATTAACTTCATGTGAAAGGTGTGTGTGTCCTTTCTCTTTTTTTTTGCAACTTGATGATTTCGCAAACTATTGCATGGTGCTATATCTCACGAATCCCGATTTCGTCACAAAAATTCACCAATTCATACGAGCGAAATAACAATCATTGTCCGCCAACTGTGGCTGCGCAACTAGGACAGTCAATGGTTAGGTAGGCTGATCTTGTCGATGAACAGGAAAACATCATGGTTTCATTATCCATCTTAATCATACCAATTAGAGTGATGGTCCAATCCCAGAAATCCGAAAACTCCAAAGTTGCGACAGAATCCAACCAATTATTTTGTAGTTCTACAGCTGCAACACACAGTTGGACTTTGATGGGTTTAAACTTTCAACTATTGAAAGAGTATTAACGTGCTGGACCTCATTAACTCGAGTATACTCAATTTGAGAAGGTTTATTGTGAGAACACGATATGGAACTGTTGTTCCCTTGTTCTGATATTGAGGGAAAATCTCGACAATCCTCAATCGGGGAAGGCCAAACGGGTGTAGGTGGTCTACCTGAGAATGTATGCGCTAGGTTGTATTCTTTGGTAGTCGTCTTTCTCTCTCACTTCATATTTCCTCTGAGTCTTTCTGTATGCGAAGCAAGAAGAGACTGACAAAGAGGTAGACGGTTCGTAGTCGACATCGTGTGTCCTTCGAAAAGTGAGAGATAGAGAGCGAACGAATAAGAGGTACACAAGCGACATCGTCTTCATCGAAGTCATCTACTTCGAAGAGGGAAAGATCAACGTACAGTCTCGCGAAGTTTTTCTCTCGTCTCTTTTGTTCATCATCCGCCAAGAACTATCTCATGAGTTTCACTTCCCCTGTCTCTCTCGGAATCCCTGTTTCCTGTAGACATTACCACAGTCGATCACGACGACGGAGATGGTGCAGGCACCGCCCCACGGTCTAGTTTCAATGGTCCGGTCGGTCCGCCAGCGAAAATCGATAATCGCAAGGCCCCTATGGCCGTCGCTCTGTCAACCATACACCGTTGCTGACTGACAGCCGACAGCTGAACCTATTCGCTCTCAATACACCAGATACGATCCATCGGATCTAACTTCAAGCTTGAGCTCCAGCAACGGGCCAAATAATCTCTGTCTGCCTGACTCTCAAGCAGGCTGCATTTCTGCAGCAACCACATCTCTTCATCTTTCTAGTAGCATATATCATATCTTGCTCTGACCATAGCTAACGTTTGGTACTGAGAGCGTTGATATCATTTAAGCTCATTAGAGCCAGCTATAATTGGAAACGCAAAAACAGTTTTCGTTCATTTGTTCAGCTAACTACAATAGCTCTTCAACAGAACAGGTAATGATTACATATAATTTAAATTAATAAACAACAAAGAGGTGATTTGAAATAGAGACTAAGAGGTCCGTTTATGTCGGAACATATAGCTAGGGAGAAGATAATAGAATATAAGCAGATGTCATTAACCAAATCAATTGTTATAACAAACTAATCAATCTCTATTTATCTTCCACCTACTGTTCTTTAAAAAAGAATTATCTTTCTTATTGACATCCTACTGCTCCTCATTCTAATCTGCTTGCAGTCCTGGGATAATAATAGGTTTATCTAACCACAAAGGCTGAGAATCGTTGCTTGGTAACCATCTCATATCATCAAACTTGACTATAGTCATATAGTCTATTGACTGGATGTCGAATGTGAAGGAAGAGAGAAAGCCTTTATTTGGAAAAGCTAATATGCTTTTCCGTTAGAACAACCGTATCGATTGATCATCACTACTTCCTTCATTACAGAACATCATGGATATTTTACAAAGCCTGTTCACTCTAAAACAAGATATGAAAGATGAAATAGCTGAAGAGGAGGTAAATAAGTTTTCTCAATTTTTCGTCAGTAATGTTATATTTGAAGTTCGAATCTGGTAGTGAAGATGGAGAAGAGAACTCTGTAGAAACAGTACCCAAAGTAACTAAGATACAAGAAGTTTCTCCAAAAAATGATAAAACTCGAAGGTATTTGTTTATACATAGACAAGAGTATTGATTGTTTCATAGATGTCGAATACGTCCGGATCGAGGAAAGTTCACAATTCTCGATGGTGCTCGCGTAGCTGACCCTGAAGAAGTGTTGGAAATAGACTTCAGTCCAGAACTTCTACAAAGGATATTTCAAGATTCGCGTGTAGGGTGAGAAAAGACAGAAAAGAACATCACTATTTTATATTTTAAGGATACAGTTCCTAGCCAGGTATGGGATAATACCCAATACGAGAGAATGTAAAATTGAAAATTGTCCAAAAGAACAATTTATGAGTTTGATCAAACACGCTAACGGATATGTGGTGAGTTCAAAAGAAGTTCAAAATTATTTTTTGTTATATAATTTGCAGTGGCGATGTCGTTCATGTCGTAAAAGAAGGGAGCGAAGAGTAATAACGAAAATTTCCGTTTACGAAGGGACATTTTTATTTTATTCCCGAATGCCAATGAACAAAGTATTTAGATACTTTTAGATTAACAAACTTCCTTTCGTTCCAGTTTTTCATATTCATGCTTATATGGTCAGAGAACCCCGGTTTCACAGCTGCTGAATATAACCGTTTGCTAGGAGAATTTCGCTTGGTCGAAGAAACCATTCATAATACCATTGGTTTCATAAAGGATCATATCCAAAGCTGGTAATCATTCTATTGTATTCCAAATACTAGACATTCCATTTTAAGGGTGCAACTTAAGTCGTCCCGATGGCCTATAGGTGGAGAGGGGCGAACTGTTGAGATGTTAGAAACGTTCCATACAGAAGATGTGAGTGCCAAACATAGAAATAGACGAGAGAGACATTTCACAATGAGAATTGTTTTAATTTGTTGGGAAACTAATGAAATTTCAATCTGCGAATTCCCTGATAGACAGGTACGAGTAAAAACGCAAAAACCTTAAGTGATTTCCTAATTTCAGTTTACTAGAGAACTTCTGGAAAGCACTTTATACAATAATTTGAAAGAAAAATCAACAGTTGTTATGAGAGATTTACTATTGGAGAGATTTGGAGAAGTTCCAGAGGTAGAGCAAACGTCACATTGGTCATTTTGTAAGGATCTTTTCAGTTGAACGCGCTATTCAATGGGATGTATTATATAAAAACCATAGCTGATGTTTGGAAGGACTTAAGTGAAACCGAAAAAGACAAGTAAAACATTCACAAATTCAGGTCAATCGAGTTCAAAATTAATTTCAGGCAGTTTATAAAGACATTAATGGAATCAGTTCAATCTGCTGCATCAGTTGAGCCGTTCGCATATGAATATTTCTTCCGACGAACATTTGTACAGAAGCCATTCAATCATCTTTTAAAAGCTATACGAGAACTTTATAGTTCGAATAGTTTCACCAAATAATTAGAAATCTCAATTCTATGTTTCCCAAACTACAGATCTCTAGGCATCTACCTCTTCTCTACAAATCTATCAAACAGAACTTTGAAATAATGTCCAAATGATATCATATAATATTCGAAAGTACTTTTCTGTACGGGTGTACTTACCGTCTTGAGAGTGATAATAAAGAAATTTTCTATGTAAAACAAGAAATTCAATGATTGCTGTATGCAAGATGCTATTGACTTTCTGTATCCTATCTCCGTCTTTGTTCAGACATTGACATAAGAGAGAAGCCTCACTATGCAAAAACCTCAATGAAAGTCTGGCTCGTGCCAGACAGGCTTGCTCATCCAGAGACATTCTAAAATATACCACTAAGATCTTCTACCTTTCACATATTTACCTCTATCAAACTCCTTCACCATTCAGCAAAACTTTCTTTCAAACTACCCAATTCCGCTTCCAAACCCACTTTCTCATATTGAGAACAGCGTTTACGAATTACTTGAACCCGTTCGGATGAGTTTCAAAGTCAGCGATAGGACATCAGAAACCTTTGAACCTTCGAGTGAAACCTTTGCTTGTTCTTCGACGCAGTTCATTTCAAAAAC